CTCCCTCTCTCTCTCTCTCTCTGTATGTGCACGCATGTGTCTCGAGTGCAGGGGAACGTCTGTATCCGCATGCCAGACCGCTCACCTAGCTCTCTAATCATGGGGGTGATACTTTAGTTTACTTAGATGTCCTCCTCGACTTAGCACATGAGCTCAGAAGGCACAAGAGTCAAACCCCAGTGTACAGCATAAAACACTTCCTGAGGTGCCACCCTTGAGTATCAAGCGTGACTTTGCATTCCTGTGCAAGCCACCACTCTGCAGGTGGCATCCACTCTGGAACATGCCTCTACCTCCCCATCCAAAGTTAACCAAGAGGAAGCTGGGATTCCCCATTGGTAGCACTGGGCACCCAGGTTGTCGTTTTGGTTCAGGGTGGATATTTATTTGACTGCTTCACACCATTTGTGGATTTCTAGGCAGTTAGTGACGTTTATGCTTCTTTCATTGTGTGTGTACTCAATGCCAGTGTGTTTGATTTCATGTGGTCTCGCTATGCCTAAACAGTGCTGAGTGACAGCTTGTGGAACGTGCCAGTTTGAAACTTCAAACTGAAGTGCCTTTCTCCAGCAGACAGTTGACAGCTTTGCATAGTTTCTGCTTTTGCCTTTTTAAAAAAGATTGTGCCTGTGCTAATGCATATGTGTTTGTGGGTACATCATGTGGAAGCCAATGATCAAACCTTGACCATCCACCTTAATGTTATGACAGGGTTTCTCACTGGCCTAGAATTCCCCAAATAACAAAGCTGAGCAGCCAGCACGCCCCAGGGATCTGCTTTCCCCATTACTCCAACACTGGGATTGTAAGTGCTTTGCTTGTTCAATAGGCACAGTAGCCACAGGACATTAGCTTCTGAGAATGGGTGGTTATTGTTTTTTTTTTAAGTGTGGGTTTTCTTAGTTAGGGTTTTACTGCTATAAGAGACACCATGACCAAGGCAAGTCTTCTAAGGACAACATTTAATTGGGGCTGGCTTACAGGTTCAGAGGTTCAGTCCATTATCATCAAGGTGGGAACATGACAGTAACTCGGCAGGCATGGTGCAGGAGGAGCTGAGAGTTCTACATCTTCATCTGAAGGAGAAGACTGGCTTCCAGACAGCTAGGATGACAGTCTTAAAACCCACACCCACAGTGACACACCTACTCTAACAAGGCCACACCCACTCCAACAGGACCACACCTTCTAATAGTGTCAATCCCTAGGCCAAGCAAATACAAACCATCACATGTGGATTCTGGGGATTGAGTTCCACTGAGTTGATAAAGTGCTTAGGGGTCCATCTCTCCAGCCACCCAACCTTGGCTTTAATGACAACACTATAGGACCCTCTTCCCTAACTCAGCACCTGCTGGGCTCTAGCTATTCTGAGATCAGAGTGCCTGTCGTTGGTCCAGGGATGCCCATCTGATTGCCCCAAGGATATATAGGGCTTGGGAGAGATTTAAAGAATAAAGACATTCATTTCCAACAGTGCATATATATATATATGTGTGTGTGTGTGTGTGTGTGTGTGTGTGTGTGTGTGTGTGTGGTGAGCCTAGCCTTTAACAGCTGAGCCATCTCTCCAGCCCAGATAATTTTTATATGTTTAAAATATGTTGTAAATATTTTATGAAAAGTGTTATGGGTGAGTAAAATGAGAGTGGTCTGACTCAAGTCTACCATGCAGGTGGGAAGGAGACAGAGGCCAAGGGCACCACAGTCTGACATGGATTTTGGAAGCCCCATGGTGTGGAGGTCACCATACAAACAGATGCTCGAACCAGCTTAGTACCAACTTAGAGACCCATGCCTTCAAAAGTAAGTGAGCCAGTGTTTACTTAGTCAGACAAGCTGAAGAACCTGGGCCCTGGCTCTGCCTCAAAATCACAGCTGGACCTGTAGTCCACCAGGCAAGACTTCCTCTGAGGAAGTCTCTGAAGTGAGGCTGTTTAGGTAATTCTTGGCTCCCTTACTAACCAGAAGTCACCCGACAGCAAATTATAAACTTTGATATTTTAATAGTTATTTTTTTTGGTTGCTGTGATAAAACACCACGTCCAAACGCACCTCATGGAAGAATGAGTTTATTTTGGCTCACAGGTCCTCAAGGAGAGTCTGTAATGGCAGAGAGGTGGGGTCCAGGAGGTGTGGCAACAGGCTAGAGTAGGAAGCCAAGCATCACATCTTTAACCACCAACATGAAGTGCATAAAGCAAACTGGAAATGGAACAGGGCTATAAACTCTCAAAGCCTGTCTGTTCCCAGTGACACACTTCCTTCAGCTAGGCTGCCCCCTAAAGGTTCCAAGACCTTCCCAAACAGCACCGCCTGCTGGAGACCAAGTGTCCAGACATCGAGCCTGTGGGGGCCATTTCTCATTCTAAGCATCATAGAGGGACTGTCTTGAATTATGATCAGTGTCCATAAAGTAAAAGGAGCTCTTTTTACCATTCGGAGGTCAGTGCAATACTGTTGACGGTCACGCTGACATCAATTTTCTTCCTCAAGTAAAACTGTGTCTCTACCAAATACTGGCTCCCCATTTCTGTCACATCAGAACCTGCCATCCTCCATTCTTCCTTGTCTCTGTGACCCTAGCCACTCTAGGGACCTCAGATGAATGCAGTCACACTGGATTCGCCATTTTGTGCCCGGCCTATCCAACTTGCAACAGTGTCCTCAAGGATCATGTATAAGTAACATGTGTCATGGTCCTTCTTTTAAGTAGGCAGGTATGTTGGCCAGTCTTTTGATGTCTTAAATCCAGGTCTGAGTGGAAGGTGCAAGTCACCCCACATTTTATCATGCCTTACCTTCAGCCAGTAGGACCCGTTGAAGCCTGGCTCCTGGGTGAAGGCTGAAAGAAAATGTGATAGGTTAGGTGGCTGTTGGGAATTGGGAGGCAGGCATGTGAGAGCTCCTTGTGGCTTCATGGTTTGGTAGTGCACTAGCCCCTACCCCTACTGAGTGACACTGAGCCCCTTACTATCCATATATGGAGATGTGCCCAATCTACGATTGTTTTCCGGTTCCAATGTAGTGGGTGGCTATTCCAACTGGCATAGACTATGCTTTCTGGGTAGATGGCTGTCCTATCAGAGATGGTATTCAACTGTCCTTATAAAGAACACATTTCAGTCATTTATAGATGTAAAACATTAGGTCTGCGGATGTGGGGGATGAGTTGCTTATGAAAGTCCTAATTCCTGGAGCCTGGCGTGCTGACACACACCATCCTCCTAACTGGGAAGTAGAGGCAGGAGGATCAGTTCAAGGTTGTTTTGGTTACATAGTGAGTTTGAGGCCAGCTTGGGCTATACGAGGGAGACAAAAGGGGGTAGGGGAGGTTTCTGCATTTTTTCTCTTAATTATCTAGAACTTCCATCCAAATTAGCTCAGTTATTTTGATAACTACTCCTCCCCTTTCTTCATCTTTCATTTTCTCTTGTTTGTTTTCATGCTCCTCTCCTGCCTAGTGACATAGAGGGATTCTTTTCCAAGTTCTATTGGTCTGTGCTGTTCTTGGGAAAAATTAAAAACCACTTTATATCACTTCATGAAATCTGATTCTATGAAAGCCAATAGCTATTGCCATAGCATCTTCTTCCAATAAATTTGCTGAAGCTGGGTGAGCTCGCTCTCACAGTATCTGCCCCAGTGGAAAGCCGGGTCTCATGTGTGTGTGCTCTTCTTCCCAGGTGAAGTGGAGGATTCAGAGGCCATCGACACCTTGGGACAGCTTGATGGACCGGACAGCCCACTTCCCACTCTGAAAGGTAAGATAGAAGGACAGCTGCTGCTGTAGATACAGAAAATCACTGGGTGGCTGCTTTGCCCTTGTCCCTGGCTGCCGGACCTGCCTGATCAACCGGATGATGGGGTCCCCTGGTCTGCCGCATTCCTGCAGGTAAGATCTGTACATGAAGTCTTTTTTTCTACTCCTAGGAAAGGCTCTGGGAGTTGATGAGGCTCCTTGGAAGAGAAGCACTCGAGAGGTTGTGGAAAATGCAGCCAACTGGGGAGGAAAGGACCTTGTGCTCAGATGTTCTGAGCAAAGCCTTAGTGGCTGGTCTTGCATCTTGTTCCTTTGTTAAATAGCTGCTGGTGGCCATCTCTTCCCTATATTTATTCCTCTCAATGAAATAGCCATGTGGTAGTGTCTCAGAGGATGATACTTTTCTGTGCTGCCATCTGAAGGAACGTTCTGTGTTCCCTTGTGGTGGCTCCTGTGGTGGCTTCCAGGTGTCCTGGAAGTTTTCTGTAGGCACCTTGCTCACCTGGCATACCTCATAGGCATTATAGGTGTGCCTTACTGCCAGAACAAAGGAGACCAAATGATCTACTTCCTTGAAGAAGCAATTCTGTTCTTTTCTGAAATAACCCCCCTCCTCCAATTATCGCTGTCAATATACTTCTTGATGTGGACCATCCACTGCAACATTATTTTTTTAGGACTGTTTTCTAACTTGGCAAGCAAGAAAAAGTTTTATTAGAGGTCTCATGGTAGAGATTCTTGGGGAATGAGCTGTGAGCCTCACTTGTAGGGAGTACAGTGCTTAGCGTTTCTGCTGATTCCATCTGGTTCACATCCAGTATCCAGGCAGAAGCTCGGACCTGCCAGACAGAGCGTTTATTAACACAGCATGTCCTGCAACACCAGACAGATGCCTGGGGAATGGACAGGACAGGTGGTGCCACCTGTCCTCCATCTGTCCTCGGCAAGCGTCGAGGCCCATGCAGAGGAACGACTTCAACATCAGAGTAACCATTCACCATCACACTTCAGCAGTGAAGCTGCCCCATCAAAGAGGGTGAGGGCACTGTCAGGAGCTTTGTGGCCATGAGCTAGGACCACTCCTTGATGTCAGGCCCTTTCAAGAAAAATTAAACAAACATCGTGAAGACTGATATTCAGAGCCATTGTGGTATCCTTGTGAGACCTGCTCAAAGGGACAAGGAGGCCAGACATGATGGACACCGAGCTGTGACATTCAGTATTCTGTGTCCTTTTTCACTATGTACTTCCTCATGGTGTTTTAACTGCGTTTTGCTCTTAGCTTCAGTGAATGTGGTGGCCACAGATCACTAGTGGGTTTCAGATGTAACGTCTAGTACAAAATGGCTGCTCACACCTCAAGCACTGTGTAAGCCTTGTGCCCCAGAGGTGGTAGTACTAGCCTCAGTGCCCACTGTGCTACTGTCAGCCACAAGGCAATTCGGGCACTTTCTGTGGCTGACTTCCGTAACAACGGGTCTTTAAAGCATCCTTTCCAGTGTTTTCAGCATCAACGTTAAAGTTCACACTGAGTGTGCTCACAGCCATTTCTGTCTATCATAAGTCCTTTAAGCATGAGCACCATGGATTTAAACTGTTCATGGGCTGGAGTATCCTATCCTCCTCCACTGAGCATGCTCAAGAATGAAGCCACCTATGACGGTTTGTATATGCTCGGTCCAGGGAGTGGCATCATTAGGTGTGGCACTGTTGGAGTAGGTATGTCTCTGTGGGTGTGGGCTTCAAGACCCTCATCCTAGCTGCCTGAAAGCCAGTATTATGCTAGCAGCCTTCAGATGAAGATGTAGAACTCTCAGCTCCTTCTCCAGCACCATGTCTGCCTGGACGCTGCCATATCCCACCTTGATGATAATGGACCGAACCTCTGAACCTGTAAGCCAGCCCCAATTAAATGTTGTCCTTATAAAAGTTGGCTTGGTCATGGTATCTATTCACAACAGTAAAACCCTAAGACACCACCCATCTACTGACATGTGGGAGCTTCCTGGATAAAATCCCCATGCTTTCTGTGTTCAAGGAAGACACTGCTTTCTGACGGTGCCCATGCAGTCTCTTCTCACCTGCTGCAGTCATTAAATCTTCTCCAGTGTAGGTCCCATCTCTGCTTCTTTCAGCTGCCCTGGCTGCCATGAAAACCACTAGTGTTTCTTTAGTAGCTCTGTTTGACTCAAGCTTTAAGGAGCCTGGGAAATCACGGTGGTGGAATTGGCTGCTGGCTTGGGAAGTCGGCCTGTGAAGCATCCGGTTCCATTGCTTTGCTGTCTCCCCACCAACACAGGTTCCTCTGGTAGCCTCTACCTTCCCAGGATCCCACAGTTTCTCAGAACAGCACTGCCCCACTGGGTACTAAGCCTTCCACCATAACAAGCCCCTTCCACATTAATACTAAGAAAAGCGATAGGAACAGTGACCATGGACCTGGGATTCTCTGGGTTATGGACACTGGTTTTCTTCTATATTCTTAATTATTTCTTTATTGAAAACTGTATATCTGTATGCAACGAAATATGATCATATACAACTCCTTACTTCAACTTCCCCCAGAGCTTCACCCTCCCAACTTTATGTCATTTAAGAGAAAATAACCCTGAGTCCAGTTAGTGTCACCCAAATGTGCATGAGTATGGGACCATTTACCAGAGCATGCAGATCCAATCAGCAGCCACATCTCCTTTAAAATTAATTTGTTTTGTGTGTGTGTGTGTGCTGCCACAGTTGTGGAGGTCAGAGGATAATTTCAGGAGTCAACTCTCTCCTTCCGTTACAGTATCCTCCTGATCAAACTCAGGTGATCAACCTTGGGTGTCCCTACAGACCCCCCGTAACCCCCCCACCATGGAGCTACAGCTGTACACACACATGCAAGCACACATACAGCGCACATACACTCATATATGGAACTAAATAAAGGACTTAGTGTCCAGAGCTTTTGTGTGTGGGGGGTGTCCTGAGCCCTTCCTATAGAGATGCTAATGGAAAAATTGCCATTGGTATTTAGTGTAGGGTGAGGGGCTTAGAACAGCAAGAAAGACACAGGCGAGGCTCAGCCCAGAACCTGTGCAGATGACATTGTGACCCCTGAGGACTCTGTGACTTACAGATGAGAAGCTTGCTGTAAGGTTCCACGTGGCAGGTGATGTCATTGTTAGACCTGAGCCAGCCTGAGGACTCCAGCGACAGCCCCAGGTACATTGGGAGTGGATGCTTAGTCTGAAGTGTTTATTCCCAGTTCTGTGAGACTTGACCCCAGCGTGCACATCTGTGTTCAGTGGTTATCAGCCTGGGAGCTGGTGCTCTACAGAAGGGCTGTGCTGTCAGTGTGAATCAAACAGCTCTTGTGTTCATCAGGTCCTTGGGCTGTTTGTGGGGGCCCAGGGCTGCAGTGGAGGGGTCTTGTCCTCTTGTTCCTGGCTCATAAAACGGGCGCAGGTCTCTACATCTCCTATTTGTTTACTTCGATGCTGAGGCTAGAGGAGTTTCTGACTCCGTTTCTTCACCCTGTGGTTTTAAGGATGACAGGTGAATTCTAAGTAACAGGAAGAAAAGTCCATGTTTCATCTACTCTAGGCTTGCAGGGCTGCCCCACAGTTGCAACAGACCAGAGGTAGAACCCAAATGTCTTCAGCAAGAGATCCTGAGACACTGGGTTGCCATGGAGAAGATGCTCATTGCTATCTGTTGTGGCTTTCCTGGTTCTTGTAGGTCATGTGGACCCATATGCAAATGCATTGAGCCTGTTTCTGGCTGCTTCTGGACATGGTAGAATTTGTGCAGGTCTGTGTATGTAACTTTGTTAAATTTTGCATAGAGCACATGTCCCCAATTCTAATCAGATGAAAAAGACAAAAGGATTCTGACTCCAAGCAGAGGCAGCCTATATGTGACCACTGAGAACACAGACTCCGTGTTTAGCTTGCTGGTAGGATGGGGGAACCGCACCCACAGACCCACCGCTGACTGGTTTCTGAGACTTTTCAGGCTGCAGGTTCTTTTGTGTGTGAATGTGAACTCTAATGCATAGAGTTCAACCACTGTTCACACTGATGTGTGCAGATGCTCATGGAGGCTGGAGGTCAGTCTCAGCATCTCTGTGGCTTTCCACCTTGATCTTTGGCAAGCAGTGTCCCATGGATGCTGGAGGTAGCCAGCATGGCTAGGCTGGCTGGCCAGATAGCTCCAGGGGCGGTCTCTCATTACTTCTCCAGGGTAGGGATTACAGCTGTGTGCTTTGTGTGTGGGTTCTGGGAATAGAAATTAGGTCCTTCTGCTTTCCACCAGGTACTTAACCAATGGGGCATCTCCACACAACCACTTCCAGGAACTAGTTTACTCTACAGAATGTGTACCCAGATTGTAGGTTTCTGACACTGTCATGGGCTAGCGCGGGACTCCCCAGAAGGTCAGGCCCAAGGGCTCAGGCCAACAGTTAACAATTGCCTGACTTATCTGTGTGGATACGACTAGGGCCCTGGTGCTACCTACCAGCAGGTGAGTCTTGAGAAAGAACATTGAGGTTCCTGCCTCATGGATAGAACTGTCCCCAGAATAATGGAATTATTCAGTTGGGTGGAGTGACCATAGCCCATGTCTTTCTTAACCTCAGGAGACAGACCACAGTACTTCACCTTTGCTGGGGCCCACTCCATGCTGCAATAGGCTGTTCATGTCTGTCTGTCTGTCCCTGTACATGTGCTCCTGTCCCTTTAAGAGGAGGTGGGTGTCAAGTGTTCGTAGGTCTGTCTTCCCTCCACATTCCTTCTTCCTCATCTTCAGATCTTCAGGCTCTATGCTGAGGGACCAAATATGTGGAGGACTGAATGACGATCACAGTCTTGTAACAGAGCTCCACCCATTGGGACATAGCCCTTTGCTGCAGAGATGCATTCTCTCCGAATCCTGGAGGTTCAAAAAATCCAGATGTCAGCAGGAGTGGCCCCTTCTGAGGCTCAGAGATGGCCCTGCTCCTTGACTACCTGAGCT